CAATTTGAAAACAGTCTTTATTCCAGTTGACTGTGTAAGCTACAAAATTTAATCAGTGCCCATGTTTAGGAGTTTTTATAAAGTTTTCTCTATCTCTAGGCTATCTGCAGTGTTCTAACATACATAACAACCAACAATGCCTTCAAAAATTATTGTTAATATATAATTATAAAGTACTGATTTCATTTTCATTTACCTTTGCGTACAGGTATTTAAATTTCAATTTCTTAATGTCTAAATAGGAGGATAGAAATGCTACAAGGATGAAATAAAATAGTTTATACTTATAAGGTTTATAAAGTATGCACATAGTAAGCTATGCTTGTGGCAATTAAATGACAAATCACTCAATACTGGGTAACACTTGCTATAATGATTCAAGTATTGACTTTAGGACTATCTCTCATGAGTAGAAGGACACTGTCTTCCTTCTTCTTAACTAATTTCCTCAATTCTGGTCACTCGGAGTTTCTTTCATTTAGTGTATAACTTCCAGCACTGCTGGAACAATTGGGGGATTATGCTATAGCGATAGAAAGATAGGAGAAAAATAAAGGGTGCCCTACATTCGGGAAGGAGATGTGTGAAACACAAGACTCATAGGGAAAAAAGGATATGGGCTAAATATTAACTATTACAGATTTTTCAAAGGTTAAAAAATATACATGCGATTTCATGTATTCTCCACAAAAGTGAATCTAATTTGCTGCTTAAAACAGTAAGTAGTTACATTACATATAAAGCATAGGTGCTAAATGTACACTGCCACACACAAAAGAAAAATAAGTGTAATTGGGTTGAGTTTTGATATCTAGTTGGCTTGTAATCTCATGCTAAATGTAGTCCAGTTGGTAACTGGGAATCATATATGACCTCTCTGTGGATAATAAAAATAAAATAGCTTTATTTAATTTTGTATTTGGCATAATAAGATTGTAATAATAATGCTGGGAAAACATTTTCATTTTCCTGGGTGTCAGTTATTAATTTTCACTTCTCTAGCACTCTAAATGTATTACTTCATTCAGTAATTTAATCATTTGTTTATTGAATATTTATACAGTGCCAAGGAAGTACAAATGGCCAATAAACACATGAAAAGATACTCAGTTTTACTATTCATGAGGGCAAAGTAAATGTAGAAGAGAATAAGGTACATATTTTATCCACTGGATTCTTAATGATAGCAAGTGTTTCTAGGGTTGTAGAGGAATTAATAATCTCACATATTGTTCAAGGCATTATTAAGTTGATTTCTTTAAGATAATTAAGAAATTTTTAAGAAAACGCAAATGTGTATACCTTCCAATCTAGAAATTTTCCTCTCAGCTTTTCTTATAGACACATCTTGATTTTTTGCAATGCTGTGGTAATGGAAAAAAGATGCCATAGAAGATAAAGAAAGAAAATT